CCCCTGATCCCCGCCCGCTCCCCCAGCCTCCCCATGGTTGCCGCACTCGGCCCAGCTCCCAGTTGTTTAAAAAAAAAAGTCCCTACTCAATGGCTGATGCCAGGAGGAGGGGTGATCCCTGCTGCCCCCCACCACATGGGAGGGTTCTGCCATGAGCCCCCCAGTCCCTGTCTGCTTTCCCAGTCCACCCTCCCACAAGCTCCCAGCCCTTTAAAAAAAAAAAAAAAGCAAAACAAAACCCTGGATTTACCGGCTGCTGCAGCAGCCGAGGGGCTTGTGGCAAAGCCCCCCCACGCAGCGTGGGGCAGTGGAGATCCCCCTCCCCCACCACTGAGCAGGAGCCGGTGAGTCCAGGGGATTTTTTTTGTTTTGTTTTTTTAAAGGGCCAGGAGCTGGGGCAGGTGGGGCAGCCATGGTGGGGCTGGGACAGCAGGTGGGGGCCAGGGAGCTCCCACATGGCATGGGGCAGTGGGGGGCAGCAGGGATTGCCTCCCACCCACTGGGCAGGAGCCAGTGAGTGGATTTTTGTTTGTTTTTTTTCCCCCAAAGAGTTGGGAGCTAGGGTGGGCAGGGGATGGGGGCCTGTGTGATTCGGAGATTCGGCCGATTCGGAAGCAGCCAAAACTCCGAATCAATTTGGCTGAATCTGACTCAGGACAACGATTTGAATCACTGTCCCCTGAATCAGCCAAACCAGAATCCGAAGCAAATACTAGCTGCTTTGCACAGGCATAGTTGAAGTCTCTCATTTTGAGGACACACCCCTAGCTCCTTGCAATCATTGGTTTTTTCCCAGAACCTAGAGATTCCTGCCATGTCAAGAATGAGCACCACATTAGTCCAATTTGAAGCACTGAAACCCCAACAAAATACACTAGCTAAAAGCCAAGATTTTGTCCTGAAAGCTCCATTTGGTTTAGCATCACCAGCTTTGCTTTCTTGGAGGTTCTCTGTTCCATGCCTCAGCTACTTCATGGGGACCCACACCCAGGCCTCTCCCTGATGTGCTCTGGTGGGTCATTAACAGGTTACAGCTCACTGAAGGAGGCAGGGACGTTACTGAATCCTGAGTGATGGCTCCCACTGGAACCTTTACTCCACAGAAGGTAGAAGGAACTTGATAGGGGAGGGTGTACAACCTACGAACTCCAGGCAATCTGGAAACCTACCCCTGGATCTCCTAACAGACCATCTGAAACATGACAAGGGCTTTCTTTAAAGGTCAAGGAATGGCGTAAACCTAGGCTCTCAAATGACAATGCTGTACATGGGAATTTCAATACAGAGGAGACAGCGTGAAGCTCTTCAGTTTGACTCCTACCTGATAAGAGACTCCAGGATGGCAGGGGTGGGACCTTTTTGAAACTCCAGCTCCTTGTAGTGCAAGGCTTTGGCATATGCTCGGCATTTGGCAGCTCTTTCCCCCAGCAGAACAATGCCATTATCATCTCGCAATGGCAGAGGACCCTGGAGAGGAGATCAGAAACAAAGTGGGTAGACAAAGAGGAGAGAGCTTGCAGTTATAAACCTGCCACAAGTGTCACCCAGGTAGCCTTAGAGAAGGGCTCCCTGTCTGCCACCTCTACCTTGTCACTGTGCTCCATGAATTCTGCCAAGTTCAGGAGTGTTTGAGTGACTTCTGCAATGTCCTGAGAAGTCAGGGCCAACTCGATGCTTCGGATCAACTCGTCCTGCTGATCTTCATTCAGCTCAGACCAGCATGAAACAAAGGCAGCATTGAAGAGATCTCTGAAGACAGAGAGACAGGGACAGGGACATGGTCAGTGGTTGGGACCCAACATTCATATGGCAGGAGAACAGGGTAGATATTTCCCTGCCCTGTACTGCTCCTGTTAGGAGCATACTTTCCTCCTAATGGGCGCACATGTAGACATGCTTTCACAGAAAGCTTACTGTGCAATAAGCTTTCTGTGCATTAATTAGTTGCACATGTAGATTCGCCCACTGATTATCTGGTGTGAAACACAATGTCTGGCTCAACACTTTGCCGGCTGCTAAAGCTATTTCAGAAACTCAGTGTTGAACCAAGTATTTTTTGGAATATAAGAAGTTCAAAAGTTCTAAGCATCTTGCTGAGGTACTAAAAATCTGAAACCAAATCCATAGGAGAGCAGTGAATTTGTGCTACTGGCAGATGCAGCTCCTTCAAGGCAGACTAATTGAGGTTATCTAGGGACACACTTCTCTAATGCACTGAATCTTATATAAAAGACTAAATTACATCACTGGGAAAGCTGCTGCTTCTTTAGCTTTTGTTCACCTTCAATTATAGCTTGCTTTTCAGTGCAGAGAAAACAGGATATTAAACAGATTTAAACAAGGTTTTCTTGTAATCCCTGGTACTGTCTATTGAAGCAGTACTCATTTAGATGCCAGACGTCCCCATCTGCCCTACACAACTCCATATGGAAGAGTCTTTTCAGTCACTGCTACACTGAAAAGGAGGAAGAGAAGGTGGACCTTTTGCTTCTACAGAAAATACCATAGGATCTTTACTATACAGAAGCCTCAATTTTGAAGCTCCAACTCATGAGGCCTACAACAATAGCACACAACTCTGTTTACCTACCTTACTTAACACATGGCCAGGTATACCCAGCCAGGATTTAAATATGTGGTTGAAAGGAGTGTCACACTCCATGCTCAGGCCACTAAGCTACAAAACATTCTAGTGGTTTAAGGATTAATTTAAAAACGCTTGTTCCTTCTGTGCCGAGTCCTGCAATCCATGCTGGTATACAAAAAAAAATGAGAGATTTTTGGTTTGTTCTCTGTACAAAACACCCAAGCAGATTAAAATAGAATTTAAAAAAATCCTTATATGCAGTAGGAAGGGATGAGGGCGGCAGGGGGAGAAGTGTCATATGTTCATAACACAAAGCTACCACATTACCTATATTCACTGAAGGAGTGCAATGGCTGGGTTTATGGCAGGTAAGGTTAAAGTGCACAGGGGAAGTAGAGAAATAATAGAGGTTTGAGATGTACTTGCAGACCTGTGTGAAGGACACTTGCATGCTGTCTAACCACACAGCAAGTCCCAGACCCTTGCCAGGCAATCAATCCTTCTATTTTGTGCATGCTAGGTTTCACTTATAAAAGAAAAAGATTAAAACTCAAACAGGCCACACTTTTGTGACAGTAGTAAAGTGAGGCCCCTGCACACCAAGGTGATATTTATATGCCACAGCGAAGAGATAAATAGGTGGATTCTATAGCACTCACAAGTCAGTCCTGACATAGAGGTTATGAAGGAACTAAAATCATAGATGTTTATTTGCCTAGAGAAATCTTTATCTGAGACATGGGACCCTACAAGCTATTTTACACTTTGCTCTTTTTCCAGCTTCATTGATGTTTGCCTTGTGTAATTATGAAAACAATAATAGGCAAAATTCTACTCAGGTTTTCTGTACCTCAAGAAACTGGAGAGGAAGTACAATTTCCACCTGCTTTATTTACCCCCAAACAATAGTTATCTCTATTTTGTACAACTCAGCAGCTCTTAAATGACTTTCCATTTCCTTTAGGGTTGTGGGTTGTAGCCACATTGGTCTAAGGACATAGACAGAAAAGGTTCTTTGGGTAAATGTGGCATCTTTTATTAGACCAACTAAACAGTTGGAAAAATTGTGCCCGAAAGCTTGCAGAAAACAAACACTCTTCTTCAGGCATAGGGAGAGTCTGCTGGTGTTGTGTTTGTTCTCCTAGGTGGAATAGAAGCCAAGATGCTAAACGCAGGTTCGTAAAAATGCAAATGTGTGGCAGTGCGGATCAGAGGGAATGGGAGACAACAGGTGAGAAACAGGTAGGTGGGGGACGGGAAGGGATGTTGAATTGGTGATAGAATGTAGCTGGTAAAATTTTCCATCTACAGTCTATCACCAGTTCAACATCCCCGCCCTTTTCTCCCCCTGCACCTACCTGTCTCTCACCTATTGTCTCCCATTCCTTCTGATCCTCACTGCCATACATTTTGCATTTTCACAGACCTGCATTTTGCATTTTGGTTTCTATTTCACTCAGGAGAGCACACAAAAACCAGCAGACTCTTCCTATGCCTGAAAAAGGGTGTTTGTACCTGAAATCTTGCAAAGAACAATTTTTCCAATTATTTAGTTGGTCTAATAAAAGATAGCACATTTACCCAACGAACCTTGTTTGCCTATTTCCATTTTCTTCCAGTTTCTGGCATCTATACGATGCTCCAAGGAGAGGCATGAAATACACAGTGACTGTACCTGGCCATAGGGTTGTAGGCTTGAGCCAGGGCCCAGCAAGAGCGCAGGGATGGTGATGAGGAATCTTTCAGCAGCTCCAAGCTTAACCGTCTGAGCCATTCTAGCCAGTCATCTTTGGAGACTCTTCTTGCAGCTCCCCAAGCCTGCAACAAAAAGCAAGATAGCTGAGATGCTCTGAGGGAAGCACCTGCACACAATCCCACAGTGAATAAAAGCAGAAGAGCAAAGAGAAGAGATATTTCCAATTTGTTGCATCTGCTCCCTTTTGTCAGCTGCGATTTGCTTGTCCCCTCCTTGCTAAGGGTGCCTTTCCTCAGACCACTGGCTCCTCCAAAGGATCTTTCCAAATATATTCCCCCCTCATGCACAGGAAGCCTCCCCTGCTCTTCTTTACCTCATATGAAGCACATTAAGTGCCACATACCCCTACTCAAGCACCACCTTTGAAATGCTTTGAATTAGATATTCAAACCCAGCAGGGTCAACTCAGTCCTTCATGCAGAAGCACTTTTGAATCTAGCTAGTACTTAAACAATGGCCAATATGACCAGACATAATTGTACCACTGTATTTTTGAAAGCAGGTGGGGAAGAGTCTTTATTGACTGGTAGACATGTCTGAGGTGAACATTTCAAGGCCAACCAAAGTGAACGCTGGCTACTAGTGCCTGCTGTTGGGAACAGGCACCACACACAATGCAGCCAGTGGATGGAGCATTAGGCATAAAAATTTAATTAGCCATTAAAATAAAATAAAAATTAGGCTATAGTAAAAAAACACTTTCTACTTTCAGATTTTGCCAAAAGCAACAACCAACATATCAGTCTCAGGAGTTATTGCTACCTTTGGACAAAGCGTTCTTGTCATTTTTCTGAGCCAATCAGTATTTGCTGGAATCTAGATGGTCCCACATGTGCAACTAAGACATCTGTCCACTCACAGCTAAGCTGGAAATATCAGATACTGTAGGGACTTAATCAAACATTAGACACCCCAAATATGGTACAGAGGACACTTTACACAGCTGCCTTTGACAGGAGGCTATTCCATAGTGATGTGCACCAATAAAGATATATCTAGAAGTCAGAGACCTTTCCAAGGCTCACTACTTGCAGTCAAGAACTTTTGCTTATTCTTCTGACCTGGAGAAACAGCCCTACAATATTACCCATGGTGCTTTTTCAGCCCAGCAGCTGCGCAGCTCATGAGACATTTTCCAAGTATAACAAAGCACCTCAGAATTTCTTAAAAATATGGGATTCTCAGGGGAATCCCTGATATCAGGTGGACTCTCCTCTTGTGGATGAGAGTCAGCAATGGAAGAGAACACTGAAAAAACCCCCAAACCCTGTTCTGTGGCACTGGACATACCTCCTGGATTGAGACACCAAGAGCCTGGCCTTTCTGCAGCATAGTACTGAAACAGGGAGCTCCATACCCACCTTCTGCAGGTTAATGGTGCTGACGTGCAGTTTTTTCATTGGACCCGTTTCTACAGGGCCACTAGCTAGTGTCTCTCCCTGGTTGCTTCTCAGCATTCGGTGCTGATAAATCAAAGGATCCTCCTCTTCATCAGCAAGTGTGTAGCCCTGCAAACCGATGGCTCAGAATGAAGATCAGAAGGGCCACCATTAAGGTTTCTTTTGACATGCACAAGTCACGAACAAGATCTGCTGAGGGTCAACTTAGCGGAAGTCAGAGGAGCTCTCACTCATTCAGCTTAGCTCAGCTCAAGGGAGGGGAAATCACTTTTCATAACATGGACGTCTTTGGAATCTGCAAGCTCAGGTCATCCCAGGCCTGTTCAGCAGAAGTGTCAAGAAATCTTGACTCTCAACACCAAAGGATAGAAAAGCTGAACTCTGAGGCATGCCACTGTGGAATAGTGAGCCACAAATGCGCATTGCCACTTCCCTCCCCTATATGGGTCTCTGCAATAGCTACTAAATACCGATGTGCTACAGACCCCCTTAAGCAAGTAGTAACAGAGTGGAGCAGTTACTGGCTTATGAACCATGGGGTCCACTGCAGAAAATTAAGGCAGAAGAGTCCTCCCTTAGCCCTGGTGTGGAAATGGTGAAGAGGAAGGCTCAATCGGACAATTTAATTGAGAGAAAGAAGGATACCAACTAGTACCTTAGGATCCCTTTTGGTTCCCTGCAGAAGGACTGAGGATCAAGTTTTACGCACCGGACAAGTTTTGCAATTTCACTCTCAAAATACCAGATTATAATATAACTAATCTCCCAAAAACATGGAAATAGTTGCTCTGCATCCTACAGCTGAGGCCAACCAAGTTTTCTGTTGCATTAATTCATATGAACCAACCCACCTTCACAATCCTGCAGATGAGAACATCATACCGCTGATGATTTATCCTGTGACGCACCAAGACCTTGTTCACCATTGGGATAAAAATCTGGTACTGTAGGGGAAAGGTTTCACAAGTTCATTAGCCAATCTCACCAAGACTAAAGATATACCCACTGATTCCATGTCCATTTTGTTGGCCAACACTAGATTCTAAAAAAAAACTTAATTTGGACAAATGATGGCAGAGGTAGGAATTGGTTTATTTTGAGAATAAACCCATTGCATTTCACAATCATGGACTGGAAACATTGCAAAACTGGGTATCATCTCTTTAAGGCCCTAGCTGACTACACAATAAATACTCCATCTTATAGCCATAAACTTTGGGGCAGTCCCTCTCTCTTCTGGTGGCTTTCAGACTTAGGAAAGACATTACCTTCTTCCCTAGCTGAAAGACCAGAGAGGACAGAGTATCCATAGCCGGTGTCCGTAGCTCAGGGCTCTGATCTAGTGTGCGCACAATAGGATGAATAATTCTTGAAGCATAATCAGTGAAATCCAGAGACTCTGTCAGGCGGTCCACAGTCTCTAGAGCAGCTCTGAAATCAAAGAAAAAGGGAGACTCATTATCTCTGACAGAGTGAAACAGAAGGAGCAGGCTGGCTGAAGAGAAACAGGTGACATGCACAGTCATCTTCAGCTTCTGCAAGGACTTGGCTTTCAGGGAGAACACTTACAAGATTGCCTGAAACAGGGCAATGGCTAATAAATCCTCTCACCTCCCATTATTTTAGTCCATGTCAAAAGAATAAAGCATACAGTAGAGGCTGATTAAGATACCCAAGGGTGAGACAGGCAGTCATTTATATTGTGCAAGTAGCATCAGACATTTGCCAAATCCCTCTTAGTGCTCGAGTTAACAGGCTACACACGCCTGTTAACTCAGGCATTAAGAGCCTACTTTTACCTCATGAATCCTGAGTAACAATGCAGCAAGAGCTTAGGCCCGACCTGCACTCAGCTATTTACACAGCATTCAAGCTCACTTCATTGTTACCCAGAGTGCCTTACCAGCAACCTTGATAGAGAGGATGAGCTCCATTTCTGGGGTGCTAACAGCACAGTACTGACAGTATTCAAGGTGGGCTAGAAGCATTAGCTTGCCCACTGCTCATCTCAGACAAATGAGCTCACTCTCTGTGGCTTAGGCTGTCCTAGCACTATGCATTCAACACAATAAAGCAATAAGTAGGTCTCCCACTTGACTGGTGACTAGAGAAAGTGAAAGTCTTTGGAAGCGACTAATGAGCAATTAGTGTCATTTCAGATCATAGCAACCACTAAGGAACCCAGAGGGAATGAGCAGAGAGAGAGGAGAGAGAAAAAAAAAAAAGAGAAAACAAACAACAGTGGATACATACTTCCGAGGCGGTATTGGGACGTCTGGGGCATCAAACAGCTTTACAATGGGAGGTAGTAGCAAGTGCAGGTAGTCATCCAAGTTGGCGCCAAACAGCTGGATTGCATTCAGCAACTGGAGAGGAAGACAACCCAACACCACCCAACTTAAAGTTGTAAAACAGCAACACTGTAGAGTGGGGGTTGGCAACATGTTTGGGCCAAGTGCCAAAAAAACCCTGCAACCTGGGCTTAGAAGATGTTGGCATGCCAGGGACGGGTGGCAGGGGAACCCCGGTACCTTTCCTCCCGTGCTCCCCGAGGCACATGTGCAGCCACTGCCAGCACACTGTTGCTGCCACCATGAAACCCAGGCTGCTCACAGCAGATAGCTGCGAGCCTGCTAATGGCTGTACCAGGATCCAGAGTCTGGCTCACTGCCGGAAGCTGTTGCATGTGCATCTCAACGAGCACAGTGAGAAAAGGGCCAGGGCTACACTGCCCTGGCCCCTTCCGTGCTGTGCACCTTGAGGCTCATGTGCAGCTGCCACCGGCCACAGAGCTGGGCTGGGACTCCGGACCCTATGCAGCTGTTTGCAGGTCTGCCCATTGCTGGCTGTGAGCAGCCAGGGGTCTGTGGCCAATAGTGGCTGCACTTGCGTTTTGGGGCACATGGCAGGGAAGAAGCTGGGGTTGTACTGCCCCAGGCCCCTTCCCTGCCACGCATCCTGAGGCATGCGTACAGCCATCATTGGCCATGGAGCCAAGCCAGGGCTCCAGACCCCAGTGCACCAGCTGCAGTTTCCCAGCTGCCTGCCACAGACAGCCTGGGCTCTGGGAAGCTGCTGCGTGCCATGGAGGCTGGGCTGCTCGCAGCAGGGCTTGTAGCTGCCCCTCTGCCTGCTGCAAGCAACTCAGGCTCCATGGCCGGCAGCAGCTGCCCAGAGCCCAGGCCACTGGTGGTGTGCCAAACAAAATGGCCATGCATAGCATGCTCTGGCATGCATGCCGGGGGTTGCTGACCCCTGCTGTAGAGTATCTTATCTTGGCTTGTCTTGTCTTGTCAGCAATTGACTGTGCTCTGGTTACTCCCTTCCCCACAGCATGCTTCCACTCAGGCTATACCTAAAACAACGCAGCCTGCCTAAGGCCTCACTCACCTTGACAGACACGTTGCGACTTGGGCTGCTGTCATGCATGAAAACTCGTAACATGTGAGGAATGAGCTGTGGCAGGTAGAGTTTGAACTCGCCCCCTAGAGCCACCACAATTTGTTCAATAAGCAGGATGATTGTGCTCTGTATTGAGTTGTTCATGACCCAGAAGTCCTGCAGGAGACAGAAGGAGACGATAAAACAGCCCTCTACAGCTGACCTGTGCACGTTAGGCCCAGGGAGACTGACAGTGATTTCTAGATACAGAACAACAGTTAGAAACCCCATCACCATTACAAAACCCTCTGTTTTAGCATCTGAGATCTCCAGTGCTGTCTTGTTTGGCTGTTAGAAACATACTTCTTTGGTGACTGATTTTTCCTGGTCCCTTGTTTAGTTGCTTATGACAGATTCCATTTCCCCACCTCCCCAGAGACTGCAACCTCCCGATGAACACAAACTCTTTTCCACTACAATGGATCTGATGTACAACATGCACAAGTTCCAAAAGTCTTGTACATAAGCACCAACTAAATGCCAGCTGCCCTTATGCAGACTAGTAAGAAATGAAAGTGTAAGTACCTTTTAGGTGTTGGCTTAGAAATGGCATTTAAAGGTCTGTTTTTTGGGAATTGGCTTATAGGTATAGATATATACATTATAAGGGTTGATGATGGGCAGCAGGGGTTGATTTCTAAGAAGCCTGGGTGTCTCTTGCTCCCCCCTTCCCTCTCTCTCTCTCTCTCTCTCACACACACACACACACACGCACGCACGCACGCAGTTTCGTATAGCCTTCAAGGCAGACAGGCTGTCTAACACAACAAGGACACACAGCCTGAGAACTGAGGAAGTATGTACCATATTGCCCATAACACAACATAACTGACACCAGCTACAAGACCGCAGAGCAGCAAGGGGGGCTGAGTCCTGGTTTTGGGGGAACAGACCAAATTAGGAGAAGGCCTTGAAGGCTACGTGGACATGTGACCATAGGGAGACAACCAACCAAAGATAGCCATGGATGAAGTCATCAGGAGTGAAGGAGAATACAAAAGCAGAGACTTGAGAGTAAAAAAGCGCCCCCCTGTCTATCCCTCCCTTTGTCCCATCCCTCCTCATCAGTCTTTCCTCTTATTGCGTCCCTCCCGTCCCTCCCCATCCTTCTCCTCATCCCCTGGGAAGGGTCCTCAAGACCACCATGGACAGAGGGCGTACCAGCAGCCCATCTCATGCACCCCACTGGGTGGGGTGGGCCTCAGCATCCCACCTCCAGACTGCTGACACCTAAGAAAGAGCCTCAGAGTAAAGATCCCATCCTGGCCATGTACTTTGACTCTGATGACATCCTTAGGATTTGGTAGCTATATAGAACTGATTGTTTGTACTGCTTCTTTTCTGTTATCTCTGTGTATCAATAAATTTACCTATTATCGAATAGAAATGTTGCGATTGGTGTGAGGGTGGAACAAGGTATCTGGATCCTAAATCCAGAGCCAACATTAGGAAGTGCCCCATTAATATAGAAGCGATATGGAGTGGAGTTTTATATTTTACACTGGTAAAAGAAGAGGCCAGAGAACAACCGTTTTCCTTCAAGCCTCACCATCAGAATATTAAGCAAATGTTAAAACCAGGGCAGATTTGCTGTTCTCTGCCAGCTCTAATGAACTGCAAGCAGTTCAAAAGACAGTGAGAGTGCCATGTGATAGCAGTCTGGTTTCAAACACTATCAGCTTAGCAAGGTAAATCTCCACGGACTTCACAGGCCATAACAGTTCATCTGGCATTAATTTCTCTTTGGTATTAACAACTTCAGAAAGAGAATTTCTGAATACCTTCAACAGAATTCCCGCCTGATCTCTTGCCCTCACACTTTCCACGAACAAACTCACTAGTTACGCAGACATCGAGGCAGACTGCGGGGGGATCCCACTAGTATTACCACCTACAAACGGGCTTCCCCAACTTCTTTCTGGTCTGAAAGGAACTTGAGCTGGAACAAGTTCTAGAGAATGGATCCTCTGTTTGCCTTCCCAGTGTCAACAGACCAATAATCTGCAAACGCTCCCAAAAGAATCGTTTATTTTTACTTTGCAGTGCTTTTAGCCAGATCAAAGAAAACTTTGACCAACATGCAAAACATAATATTTCCCACCTCTGCTTTAATAAACCAATTGCCTTAATGCTCCTTTTATAAAACTTTCAAAGCACGCATCACAGTAAAATGTACTCTTCAGCTCTGCAGTAGTTACACAATCCTCCAGACTCAAGGGTTACATAACTCTCAGTGCTTAAGTTAATTATTAAAAAACCCCAAAGTTTCCTGATTTCTATTACTAGCTCATGTTGTGCAACTACAAACTGAATATTAATTCTCTATTTTAGTTTTCACACTTCTGTGCATGCAGAAAAAGACTGATCACTTATTTTCATTACTGACTAATATACAGGATAAGCTTTAATACCTAGGTTTTGAGCACTGCTAGGAAACGTTATTTTTAAATTCCAGTTGTTTCTGCTTTTTAAAAATCAGTCACACTTTAGGGTGACCTAGACAAATTGGAGGATTGGGCCAAAAGAAATCTGACGAGGTTCAATAAGGACAAATGCAAAGTCCTGCACTTAGGGTGGAACAATCCCATGCACCAGTACAGACTGGGGGCTGACTGGCTGGGCAGCAGCTCTGCAGAAAAGGACCTGGGGGTTATAGTGGGCAATAAGCTGAATATGAGCCAGCAGCATGCCCTCGTTGCCAACAAAGCTAATGGCATACTGGGCTGTACTGGTAGGTTTGCTGCCAGTAGGGCAAGGGAAGTGATTATTTCAGTCTATTCAGCACTGGTGAGGCCACATCTGGAGTACTGTGTTCAGCTTTGGGTTCACCCCTACAGAAAGGATGTGGACAAACTGGGGACAATCCAGCGGAGGGCAACAAAAATGGTGAAGGGGCTCGTGGACATGACTTATGAGGAAAGACTGAGGGAACTGTGCTTATTTAGTCTAGAGAAGACTGAGAGGAGACTTAATAGCAGCCTTCAACTACCTGAAGTAGGGGTCTGAAGGAGGATGGAGCTGGACTGTTCTCAGTGATGGCAGATGACAGAACAAGGAGCAATGGTCTCAAGTTGCAGCAAGAGAAGTTTACGTTAGATATGAGAAAGAATTCTCACCAGGAGGATAGTAAAACACTGGAACAGGTTACCCAGAGAGGTGGTGGAAGCTCCATTCTTGGAGGTTTTCAAACTCCAGCTAAACAAAGCTTTGGCTGGGATGATCCTGCTTTGAGCAAGAGGTTGGATTAGATGACCTCTGAGGTCCCTTCCAACCCTAACTTTCTATGAGTCTATGATTTCCACTTGGTTCAGGTTTTTTAAATTTTGAGTTTCACACAATTTAAAACATGAGGTCAAACTTGCACTAACCATGTCCCTTCAAATAGGTTCCAACACCTGTTCACAAGCACGTGTCACTAAACTTAGATACCTGAAGGATGGCTTCCTGCAGGTCAGAATGGACCCTTATAATCATCATGCAATAACAAAGACATGTCTATTCTAGAGCCTCTTCCACACAGTGCCACCCTTGACATGCAGGAACTACTTCCCGAAACACTGCTGTTCTAGAAAATAGAAGAAAGATACTACATTTATGCCTTGCTTCTTTCTCTTCACACTTAATGTGCTTACAACCACATATTAAACCTTTTCATCAGCTAGAATTATGGACCATCCTTCTTCCTGCTGGCCCCATTAACTTGTAGGGAAAAGCCAACTTTAATTACTGCTGTTTGCGATGGCTTAGGGGCAGCAGAAAAATCATGGTTTATAATGACAATGCTCCATCCTGAACCCAACATCTATTCAGAAGTGGCTAACAAAGTCCAGGTATGACTCTAATAAAGTACAGCATGGGCCTTCAGCTAGAGAAAATGCCTCTCAAAACATGTTGGATTAAGAAACCATTATTGTTAAATTCTAAAGATTTGATGAATTGCTATTTTTGCCCATCATTTATGAGCTTCCCTGACATCAGTTGCTGCCCTTCTCCCTTTGATACTATTGAGTGGACAGAAACATTTTTACTCTGGTATTTCTCCAAGAGTAACTCCATGTGCTCAAAGGAAAGCATTACTACTCACCTTGTCTTACTTCCAAGAAGCTAGGTCACCAGCTAAAGGTCATACTCTCATAAGGGTGATACTCACTCTCATAAGGGTGACAATTTCATCCATATAGGGTCGAATGTGACTTCTCACAAAGGATACCAGCATTCCAAGTTGCTGGAACAGGAACTGGAATGAGGAAGAAGAGGGTAGTGCTCAGTGCTACTATCCAAGTGGCAGTGCAACCCAAGACAAATCAGGTTTCAAAGGCCAACTGCAAGCTCATCTAATAATGACCAACATGCACAGCTACTATAAGCAGGAAGTCTGGGGCTAAATTCTCTCAACAGCCTCAAAACACATAGTTGTTGTTTACAGTATTTACTGAAAGCATTTCAAACTGTGGATATGCAGGCACTAAAAGGAATTTAGGCATGCAAGGTAGTTAGATGTCTAAACATACTCATGGGCAGAATTTCAAACATCATACCATTTTGGCAAACTAAAATCTGGAAGCTGTTACTGAAAATGTAGCCCCATATCTCTTCCCCCCTTGCCTGCCAGCCAGACACACCCAGATTTTAAGGTCAGATTCTATATTTCTCCCCTCCCCACCAAGACAATGGTGGAATATTAGGAGAGAGATTTTGGGACTTGCCAAATTCATAGGAAGATGACCAACTGTACCCTAGAAAAACTGAACTAGACATTTCTATCATATGCTTGCTATGTCTGTTTCATGATTACCTTTGATCCAACAAAACACAATCACGTGCACACTTACCACTGTGGTGATTTTACTTTGGAGCTTGATATGAAATAATATGTCAGTCTGGATCAATTGCCCTTGTCCACAAATACATATATGCTTTTCTTTTTTTCTTTTCTTTCTTTTTTTTTTTTTTTTTAAAGATTAAGAGTATTTACAAGTGTTTTCTACTATATTTTATTTTTTCACGAAAAATTTCTAGTATAGATTGTTTTTGCTATTCACAGCAGGAAAACACAGGCCAATATTCAGAGAAATCAAGGAAGGGCTTTTCAGTGAAAATTGAGCAAGTGGACAAGGGATTAAAAATAAATAAATAATCAGCCTCTGGTTATAGGTGGCTTGTGTGTGTGTTTACCGAGAAATAACCCTGAGCCCCCATGGAGTTGTCTTCTCTTAGAGTTGCGAAGTGCTTACATACAGGACAAGGGCCTGCCTCGTCTGGGCTTTAAAGTCACGTGTACCCACCTCAGCTCTTCTCCCCAGTACACTTTCACCATCTTCTTTTACCTGAAAATTTTTAAACAGAGTGTGCACAATTGCATAGCTTTCAAGCATGTTAGATCAATCAAGGGTAGGCACTCAGCCAACCCAGGAGTGCCAGGATTTCTCCTTCCGACCTGAGCAGTAGTTCAGTCTGGTAGGGAATTAGCCTGTGGCAACTGCAGTTCTATACCAGGGTAGACATTCCACAAGGGTAAGTATGTGGCTCCCATCCCACATACCAAACAACTCTGGGAACCCATGCAAGTTCCCCATCCCACCCCACACACACCAGTTTCAGTATCAGGAGGAAAAACTTCTGCTAGACTCAGCCATTTTTTGGTCAGATGCAGCCAAGGCTCATTTTTGCGCTGTCACGCACAATTGATAACTGCTACGTAAGAGGCAAAGATGATTCTGTGGAACCATCAGCTGACACTGGCCAATCATAATCCCTTTCAAAGGGGGATGAGAGCACATGTCTATGGCAAAAGGTTTAAAGATACTTAGTGCAACATGCAAAAAAAATTCTCTGTGCATCAGGGGCATGAACTGCAGAGGCCATGGAAGGCTGGGGGAGCTAGCTGCAAAGTCACTTTTTGGGCCGAGTGGTTTGACAAAGAAGTAGAGCCAGGGGCTGGCCATTTAAGGAGGATGCTCAGTAACAGCCTGAGAAGCAGAAAAACTGGTGGCACTAGATGTTCTGACCAATGCCTGGAGACAAAAGAAAGCAGAGCTAGTACCTCACTTTCTGCAGCATGCTTAGCAGCAACACACACAGTGCAGGAGTGCCCAAAGCTAGTCATGTTCTCTTTGCAATGGATTTCTGTTCTGGGGCAGGCAGGAGAGAACAACACTCAACACTCACCTCTCGGATAGCACCATCACAAACCCGGATTACATTGAGGAATGTTGGCATGACCTGGGGTAGGAACTGCACACACTTCAGCCCAAGGGACTTGAAGATGAAGGTGATGGCTTGGACGACCATTGTATGGTGCTGGGACAAGGACTGATCTCGGAAGATTCGCATCAATGCTACCATGGAGACAGCAGGATAAAATTCATCCAGTGGGAGGTTCCCCATGTTCACCAACATCTCACTGGTACTGTAATCAGCTGGTAGAAAGTAAAGAAGAGTAACCAGTATGCACACAGCGCATTTCAATATTGCAATACAAACACAACCAGCTAATGGGGGAAAATGGATGTTTACACTATGGGCATGCTCAGAGGGGGCAGACATCTTATAGGAATTTTACATCAAAGCTCCAAGACTCTGGAAGCTATTTCAGAATAGCTCTTTTGATAAATTTCCATACATAGACAAGTCCTCAGGCAACACTGAACCTATTACTCACCAGCCATTTGCCCCCTGTAATAAACTATTATGAAGCACCCTAGTCCATGTCTTTTTCATATATGCATTTAAAAATTAGAACTGGACTGTAATTCTTAGCAATTCACCAGTTTCGAACTGGGACTTCGTTTAGGAGGGGAGGAACTCCTGAAAAATTAAACCAACTGTGATGGAAGTACCATGGCTTTCACCTGTGTAACAGAACAGGGTAGGAGCCCAAAGAGACCACAGATAATCTAAGCTCTAAAGCATGAAATGGGGTGTTTCAACTTGGTTCTATTTTACAAAAGAAAATCTTGCTGATGAGCAAGCAATATTACTATTCCTATAATAGGCATTTCCATATTGGCCAATTTAGCTTAAGTTAGTCAGGGTCACATTCACATGTACCTAGCTACTTTAGTTCCCTTATGCAAGCTGCCCCCACAACTATCCACAAAATCAGTCACCCTGCTAACCTGGGGGCAGGGAGCAGTGCTTTTTACTGCCCTATGGCTCCAAAATGTATTTGAATGTAGGGACACAGGTTAGCATGTTCCACCTGCTGTTATACTTTTCATTTTAAGAATGGAAAGGGCCAATATAAAAAATTCCTATTAAAAGTGGAAGTGAAACCATTCAATCATTTCATTTAAGCAAATGCCTGGCAAACAGGTGCCTGTCCACAGCTGGATGCCACTCTCAACCAAGTCAGCTCTAAAGCTGTCTGCTTAGTAAACAGCTACACAACAGGGTTAAGCATGGGTAGGGAGTAAAAGGTGTGGGTAGATCTCTGTGTTGAATCTGTCACATGGCTTGCTTAAAAAGGGCTGCCCCAAAAACATCAATGACAGTTGTAAAGGGGACAAGTTTACTGATCTCCTCAGTCACAGGAGTTTGATCCTCCTTGGACACCTGCTCAAAAGGATTGTGTTAGATGGCTTCAGAGTTTTAGTTTGGTTGCAAACTCCTCAAGACAGAGGCTCATTTAAATCAATGGACCAGGAATCACATACATCCACATACACCACAGAAACAAAGACCTAAGGCTGTGAAGACCTTCAGTGTGTTCCTGAACCAAATCTCACCTATGGTGAGACAGGTAAAAGAATAGGTTACAAGACCCTCTTTAAAAGAGAAATGAGTTTAAGTTTGTCATTGTCCAAAAAGACATCTTTCTAGATGCTCGGTTAATTCTTGGAATAAAGTCATTGTATTTGTACTCCCCTGAAAGAAAAGAGGCTGTGGAGAAAACTTGCATAGGACACAAAGAGGACAAGAAATGGTGATATAAGTGGCAATGAAAGGTCTCTAAATGCAAACCCTAACAATAAAAATATTACATTTACTAGGGGATGTTATCAACTTGGCCTAGTGGGTAAGAAGAACTGGGCTGGGGTACAGGAGATCCAGATTTAATTCATGGTTCACTGGCCTCCTGGGGGTGGAGGGGACGACACCTGGGTCACAGCACTTCCTTCCCTGAGTTTTAAATTTCCATTCTATAAAGGAGGAATAACAATAATTCTGTAATGTGCTTTGAGAGCTAATGCAAGTAAGAACTAAGACCTGAGTATCATTATTAATAATACTAAACAAACCCTGCCCAATTGCCCCAAATGTATGTACTGCTACTGCAGGTAGTACCTGATATTATCATTATAGCTAAAAGAGCAGAGATTTCCTTCATGAGCCATTTTATTTTGACTGCACTGTATGTAGTCACACTTTCCCTACCACTATAGTCAGTCACTTCTTTTCCTGTTAGCCTTTCACACAGCAACACAGGACAAGGACGTTTCACAGAACAGGAAAAAGCAACCGGAAAGCCACTCATTTGGTAGTTTGTACAAAGATGGTGCACAAAACACTTGAATTCATTTTTCTGAAACTGACTAGATTGCTATTCTACAGCATCCTTCCAGCATTTACAGCAGCTAAAAAAGGAACACCCTTAAGAAATTTTCCTTTTCTCAGGTACCAACAACCCTTTCTGCTTAGTGTAGTTTCACCATAGATCTCCAAGTCCTTCAAATGCAGATCAGTATCAATAGGCACTTTTAACAAAAGGTTAAAACAGGCATTGAGAAGTGACTTGCTTGGGTTTCCCTGTGGCAGAGCTGGATTCTATGCCCCAGTTAAGGTTAATGCTGCTGTACTGTAGCTTTCAGGATTTTTTAACTCCAGAATGGAATGAATCGTGTCTAAAGCCCAGGTTCACTGTTAGTTAGGAGCTCTCTGGCCCATGCCACCATACTGGCTGGAGAAACAAGCAGATGACCTATGATGTAATTTCCATCTTTAGCATCTAGGCTGGAATGAAAAAAGCACAGCCCCTTTAAAATTAAATTATGTGAAAGTTGCGCACTCTTCTCCCAGCATCCACTTGCTTACAAGAATCTTGACTGGATTTAGACTCTGACAGGCTGACAGCCGAAGCATCACGTGACTGGTCAATCATGCCAATGTTCACTTTGTGCTTGTATGGGTCCAAAGCTCCCAACAGACCCAGCACACGGATAGCCTGGCAAAGAATAAAGCAAGAAAAATGTGTCAAAACCACATTCCAGGCAAAAGCCAACACAATGAATGAAGCCTGAACCCAGGTGTCTGGGTAGCTGCCATGACGAGACCTAGTGATAAGAGAAATGGTGGCCTTTTATTCCCTAGACAGCAAGCCGATTCTTTCCACTCCACTAACAGCGAACAACTTCATTCACAGCTTCTTTACAGCCTTGTCCATCAAAACAAATTATACCCCACTCAGCCCCAGCAACAGGTCTTCCATTCCTTTTGCTAGAAGTGGATTCAGCAGCCTGTCTGTCTGACTGCCCTCCTAACTCCTGGAAGTCCTCAGAGGAGGAAGAGATTGGAGTTCCTACCTCTCTCCGGGTACCCTGGTTCTGCTCAGTCTTCAGAAAATTCAGCAGCACCTCCAGCAGAGTTGGGTATTTCCTGTAGGGCTCCACCACATAACCAGTACTGGCCACCAGCTGCCCCAGCGTCCAGAGAGCCACCTGGAATGAACACATTCCCAGAAGAGTTAGCTTTGACCTGGTAGGGAAGACCAGCAATTTATTACTTGCCTTATCTTATAAGGAGTCATTTATCTCCCTTTAAAACATTTAAAAGCATCTCAGGGTCCAACTGTTTCTGAAAGCCTCCCCAGAGACTCTCTCTCTGTCAGGGCAAAGCAAAAAGTTCATTAACACTTGACAACATACATCCCTCTGGGTCATTAAAAGAACCATCTTCTCCAAGACCTGTTGCCCCTGCCCCCATCCAGTCGCTGCTGGCAGCTTCTTAACAGCACTGAGCTTGATCCTAGTGTTTTCTAAGAGAGCCATTTATCCATGCTTCTTTCTTTAGCTGTTCAGGGAACACACACTACCTGAGATGAAATGAACAGCAAAGTCACCAATATGGCTCACCCTTCTGGGCATTCTCAAGTAGAGGACTGACCACTTTGAACTGAAGGCTCATTTTTTCAGCTCCAAGTGGCACACAGTAACATCTGACTCTCTCTAGTCACAGAGAGCAGCTTAGTTTAAAGAGGGTGTTGTATACTTACCTGTCTTTTAGCCAGCAAAGAGGAGTCCTGGAGCATGTCCATGATGATGATGAAGAGCTCATCCACCCATTTCCTCATCTCCAGCCCACTGACCTGTAAGAAGCAGAGAAGAGAAGTCCCTCCTCTAGAACAGCAACAGGTTTAGGGTCAAGGTGGCCACCATGGTGCCTCCTCAGAAAGCTGCAGTTTCTTACCTGTGCAAGCTCCCCTATGGTAGCCAGGACATTGTTAATCACTCCTGGGTTTGGATCCGGATCCGGATCTTTCAGTTTCACAATCAGTGCCTGTTTGAGGACACAGAAATAGGTTAGACTCCTCAGTGAAAGCCTCTCCCACCCCTACCCAGCAAGGAACACTCTCTTCCCTGCCTCTGACACTGAAAATTCAAACCAGTGCACATCCTATGAAGGATATTCACATGCATCAGCATTTCAAAGATGAACGATACATTTTGATGACATCTGTATGGCTTCTATGCACCCATCCGATCTGGGTCACATGGCTGTATGTAATCAGTGTTACCACAAGGACCACTCTAGCCAGTTTCTTTTATATTGGTTCTGCTATTACCGAGCAGGGATAACAGGATAGCTCATGGTAAAGGGGACACATCCACATGCTAAAATACCTCCCTCTTCCTCCAATGAAAAATCAGCAGGGTGTGGAAGGACGCCCTACCTTAAGGATGGGCTCCATGTATGGGCGAATGAGACGTGGGGCATTGGAGACCAAGTGACCCAACATCCTGGCACTCTGTTCTTTAATCCTCCCAACTCCACTGTGTTCCAGCTCTGTTAGGATCTACAGGGAGTGGGGAAACAGATGCATCAAAGCAGAGATAGGCTGGAGAGCCGACATTCTTCAGATTAGGCAGCAACAGATGAAAAGGAACAAAACAGTTAGACTCCATTCCCTGCTTCTGTCTGCATTTGGCTGAAACACAATTGAAGCATCAAATGAAAATGTGATTGTGGCAGCCATACGTGATGTTCCACATATAGGCACTGCCCAGCTTGCAGTGTCAAAATACGGCTACAGCTACTTCGCATTTTAAAAGGAAAGGACTAAAACCAAGCCCATGTCTAACAGGGAGGTGTAGGGTATGGAGCTAAAGGCTCCAGCACACAGTGTTCCTCGTCCACTGAAAGAAGGCCACTTTAGTCAAGGAGAAATGATGTATACTGGGGCCTGCAGTTACTGCTGTCCTCTCCATTCCACTATGGAAGATGGTAACTGCCAGATTCACTATTGAATTGCAAGGGCTCACTCTAGATATGGATGTCAAGTCATGAACCCATATGCAGGCCCTTCCCAACACTTCCTCTCTACTTGGCACTGGCGAGACCCCAGCTGGAGTACGGTGTCCAGTTCTGGGCGCCGACTTCAAAAAAAGATGTGGAGAATCTTGAAAGGGTCCAGAGAAAGGCCACAAGAATGATTAAGGGCCTGGAGGACAAACCTTATGAAGAAAGACTGAGGGATCTGGGACTGGCAGCCTGGGGAAGAGAAGACTGAGGGGGGACTTGGTGACCATCTATATGTATGTAAGGGGTGAGTATCAGGAGGTGGGAGGAAAAAAAAAAGTGGTTACTAAGGTGCCCCAGGGGAGGACAAGGAGCAATGGCCATAAACTGTTACAGGATGGTCTCAGGTTGGATGCAAGGAAGAACTCTTTATGGTAAGGGTGATCAGAATCTGGAATAGACTTCCCAAGGAGGTGGTGCAGTCCCCAACCTTGGAAGTCTTCAAGGACAGATACCTTGCTGGAATCATTTGATCTCAGCAGTATTCCTGCCCAGAGCAAGGGGGTCGGACTCTATGATCTTTCAAGGTCCCTTCCAGCTCGTAATTTCTACAATTTTATGATTCTGAAGTGTATCAAGCTGAGGTGATAAGAACCCTTTCAGGGTGCTCTTACCATTCTAAGCACGTGAGAAGAGGATAATTCCAGCAGCCTCAAACCTCACTTTCTCAACTCAACCCCAACCCAACACCTCTCTCACCTGGATTAACATCTTGCGCAGAAAAGGCATGACAAAGGCAGGGTTCATGCTGCTCAGCCGGCCCACGGTGCAGATGGCCAGCTCTCGGATTTCAAACACCTGGTCGTTGAGGGCCACAAAGAGAGCCTGCAAGTTCTCTGCCTGAGCAAGATGTGCATCAAACCGCTCATCCAGGGAGGCCAGCACGCAGAAGCGGATATCGGGGTCTGCAAGAGCATGTTTGCTTGTCTTTGCTCACTTTAAGTTTCTGTTCTTCCACAATCTCTTGCTATTACTGATATGTGGCTTCCAGCACACCACTGTCTCTCTTTACCACACAGACCTACTGCCACTAACCTTTCATGGCAAAGCTTTAGAGCTGACAGGACCCCATGAAGGAAGAAATACCTAAGGAATTTACCCAAAAGCAGTTCAGCACAGGCCACCAAGGGGCTTCTCAGTGGTGGCCTCTGTTGCTAAGCAAGACACTCGGATTTCACACCCAAATCTGTCTCTTGCTCCTGCAGCTCGTGTGGTTGGAAGGGATCCAGAGATATGGCAAACATCAGCCCCTGGGGACTATCCTGCAACTGGCTAAGGATTTAGCTAAGGAGACAGTCCTCCCCTGAACTCCATGAATGGATCATAACTTGGGAGAACTCATACCTGGGTCTGTTATTCCAACCACAAGCAGTTTGCTGAGAACATCTGCCACCACCTGCACTGCTGTCTGGCTGACCACATGGGCATGTCCGCTGATTAGGTGGATGGAGGGTGTAAGCAGGCGGGAGCAGGTGCGGGCTGCCTCCATCCGGATCTCTTTGTGTTCACTGTTCAGGAAATGGTCCGCACAGTGTCGAACAAACTGGGTCAGGGAATGACCTGGATGGGAGTGAGGGGTAGAGGAAAGACAGATGAGGATCTGACATGGGTTTAAACTTCAGGTCCTAGACCTCCTGCTGACTGTGTTAGAACAACAGAGGTGTGGTTTGATCTCCCTACTGTAAGGTGTTGCCAAGCCTTGGCCACTTTCAAGGGGCGTAAGCCAAGCTGCAGAACTGTGGCTAAGCAGAAGGCCCCAAAGCGTGTTTGAGTGACCACAGAGCAGAGGTGGGCAAAATTAGGCCCGCGGGCCATATCTGGCCTACTAATCGATCCTATCCCAGCCCAATGGCTGAGCCTGAGGAAACAGGGCTGTGCCATGAGCTGCTCCACTCTGTTGCAGCCAGTGCTGGGCTTGGCCGGGTAGTGTGCAGACTCTTCCCCTGCCCCCTCAGCTTCCTGTTGGGACTGTGGCTGTACAGTCCTGGCACTGCAGCTGCTGGGACCCAGGCCCGCATGGGATGGGACACAATGCAGCGTGCCAGGTAGCTGTCCCACCCGCCTGCTGCAACAAGCTGCTGCCATTGTGGCACCACTAGGAGGCGAGTCCGTGCCAGCCGGGGGAAGGGGAGGGACTCAGCCTGGGCAGCCGCTGCCCCCAACTTCCTGGAGCGGCATGGCAGTAGTGGCTCATTGCAGCAGGCGGGCAAGCAGGATGGCTAGTTGGTCCCATCCCATACGGGCCTGGCTGCCAGTGGTTGCAGTGCCAGGACTATGCAACACCAACAGAAAGCTGGATGGAAGTGGGACACAGGGGGTGTGGATGAGTCTGCATGCTGCCCAGCCTAGCCCAGCCCCAGCTGCAGCAGAACACAGTAGCACAGGATGCAGCCCTCCCTCCTCAGGCTCCCAGCAGCAGCTGTGTAGCCAGATAAGATCAAATGGCATCTCCCTGCCCACCCCACCCCCTCCCAGCCCTCAACAGCTCACCAAAACTTTGGGCTGGTGGGCCACTTAATAATTGCCCACCCCTGCCACAGAGGGAACCTTTACTTTGCTGAACCAGCTAGTCATTTCATCTGTAAAGGATGCCATCAATGTCCCTAAGTAAACCAGTAATTAGATACAATTAAAGCACAAGGCCTGAAAGGAGACACTATAAGGGAAGACCACATATTACATAATCCAAATATACTATATCATAGCTTTATCTTAAAATATCAGTAGTAGTGGTTGATGTAATCAAACGTATTAGATGCGATAGATATATTTGTGTTAAGAAATTTAGGTAAGTTGTAAAAACAAAACACCCTGGTCAGAGAAGGCCATAAACTAAGGTAAAGAAGAGACGGGACAGGGTTGAACTGCACTCCACAATGGCATGTTGAAGAGGAAGAAAGAGAGGAGATAACAAACCCTCCTTTTTACTTTCCTAAGGATATAAATCCCAACTAACACCTTCCAAGTTCAGAAGAGATCTGGTTCAGTCCAGTCCCCAAAGTTTCAGTGAAAGAAAGAAATTTAAATAAAACTAATCAGAGAACATTTATTAGAACAAGCCATCTATAAATACAGAGTATAGGCTGGAGGGAAATTTGGAGAACTCAGCAAATTCAAGAAGACCTGCTGCCAATCTGTATGCCACCCTCCTCCCACCGTGTGAGTCTTCCCAGCTGGTATAGGTAAGAATTCATGTTGTGCTGTCATGTGTAGCTAGACAGACTTTGGAATAAATGTTTGTTTTTGTGTTTTGAAGTGCAAGCAAATACAATGTTGGGCTGTAGACCTGTTTCTGCCTCTTTTATCAGTAGCCAACCTGCAAGGTTACCTGTAGGCTTGGTAACAAAGGGAAAAAGTTATGAAGATGGAATTAGCAAGAACTTGAGTAGGCCAGTTGGTATTATTGTGGGTCTAGCAGGGAAAGGCTAGGATTTTGTTTAGGTGGTTTGCCAACCACTTCTATATCCTGATTCTAGTAAGAGTTTTTAGGTGCATCTTGCTTTTGTGTGTCCAAAACACGCTGCTTCCAAAGTTCCCACTACTCTGCAGCAAATACCCAGAAAACACCCACCTCAGAAGACCTGAAAGCTTTTACGGACACTGTTCTGTGAAATCTTAACTAGGCTGTGTACCATGTGTACTTGCAATACTGCTGCTCAGGCTTTCTGCAAGCGCTCGAATGCATCTTGCATTCAGCCTGCTACTGCCTTCAAGTCTTACCTTCAAACTCAAAGCTGCCCAATGTGCGCAAGGCAAGGGTGATGCTGCCCACATCACTGGCCTCGGGGATGTTGGTGAGGCTGGGTGATGCCAGCTGATGGGCAATGCCTTTGGGCATGCCTGGGTGCCGCAGGGGTTTGTGCATTAGAACAAGGGACAGCATTTTCAGCAGCCCATCCTGGATGTCCTTCTTCAGCTGGGGGATCTGACGGCTCAAGTCATAGAGCACAGCAGTCAGAGCAGGGCTGGGGACAAGAAGCAGGCATGCTCATTAGAACAGGAACAACACAAGTTATGTGTTTCTACTTCTCATTCATGCCTTTGACACTGCCTATCAGAATATCGCTCCAGGCATTTAGAGCCACAGCAATCCCTGCCACTAGAGTTTGGCTACCCTTGCATGACCTCCAGAAGCTAAAACAGACTGCTTGGATGCCAGCCCAGTGTGCTGCACTAGGTGCTACTGGGAATTATCCACATGGAGGACCTCCAGCTGGGACCAATGCAATGGACTATGCACAGGACTGTCTTTAAAAGATGCTCTGAAGCTCCACGTCATGCACAATGCAGCTACAGATTTATTTCAGGGTGCATGCTCGGCTGAACGCCTCAAGCCTGCATCCTATGGACAGAGAGGTGAGCAATTCACAAGATGCTGACTCCAGACTACAAAACTGTCACAGCCTGAGAGCTGGATGTCTGAAAGACCGTCTCTTCCTCACACCCTCATGCTGCCGGCAGAGGTGAGTTAAGATTCTTCTAGTAGGAGACCCCAGATGTGAGCTCTGAGGGCAAGAAAAAGCTAGAGGCATGGCATCCAGCTCGTGAACCTTCTTCTTCTATTGGTCTGATACAGCTGGAGTTTATCAGCCTCCCAAGGTTTTCTGTTTTGTTCAGGCTTTTCACCTAAGAAGAGTATCTGAGCACTGAGAAGCTGGAGAGACCAGTCCTCAATTTACCTTGCTCTGCCATTTCAAAGAGCAAATTTTTTACATGGTGGCACATGTAGTCAGAACTCAGACACCTTACACTGACAACAGATTACTTGTTTGAGAAGGCAAAGGAACCAAAAGTAATAGCATACATGCACCAACAGTATTGAAGGGACCTGGCCAGCTGTGTTGGATGTGGCACAAAGCTCAGCACAGAAATGTAGTTACATACTGTAGATAGCACATGGGCCCAATTTCCAGATATGTAATGACTCCCAGTGCCCAAGGGCTGAGTCTGAAGGCGAAAGACAAGAGAATGGCAGATATCTGTTTGATGCACCTCCAGGTGGGGGTCAAATTAAATCAGCCTACACTGAAACATCTCTCTTTAAAACTGGCTCCTTTGAGGGGAGCATAGGAATTGCCTCACTCACACAGGCCTGCCCTCCCAAAATCTACCCTTCTCAGGAGAAGGATATAAGCTTTAGAACATCTCTTTCCCATAGGAACGTGGTATGTTAACCTCTTGCAACTGATAGATTACTTCTTACCCCTTTGCATGACAAGACTCAGTTCAGTAACACCCTAGGAGGATTTTCATCCTGGTTTAGTAACACAACAGTTTTATTTTCATCCAAAGGAAAGGGTGAAGCACTCTAGGGTTTTCCCTAAGCAGTCACTCAATGCACCATTTCCTCCAACACAGGAAGACTAATATAGCTGTGTCTCCCAAGGAAAGCGCTTGATGGGCTTTTCTCCAGGGTTGCTTGCTCTATCTTCACAACTCACTTTTATACCTATAGGCCCTTTCCCTTCAGAATCTACAATTATTTTGTTCAGGGCCAATAATGCCATCCAGTGGCTAACAGAAAAACATGTGGAAGAGCTTTGTACGTACCTCAGTCCTACAGCCAGCATGGGTTCCAGTAGCTCTTTGATGTCCTGCTGGATGCTGGGCCCCATAGCTCGTGCCAGCATACTGATGCAGGTGAAGACGGTGGCATCAACCTGCATGGACTTCTGTCTCCTAAGAAGACACAGTAAGAGCTAGCTAACTCAGAAAGCTTGCAGTCCTGTCACTCCCTCACCCCACCTTCACACCACTGACATCTCAAGGGACTGTTTGTCAGTTTACCAACAGTTGTCTATCCAAGACCCTCTCTAACCCCCATGCACTCACTTGTGGGCAAAGTCCTTTGGTGGAAGAGCTGCTTTGATGATTTCAAGAACCTTGGGCAAGTAGGCCTGAAACTCAGACCTCACAGCCACAGAAAGCAGTCCCAAGGCCTGGAAGGCTGCTGTTCGCTCCTTCTCTTTCTTCACACAGCTTAGGACATGGTTCATGGTATCTGGAAGGTACTGGTCAGCTAAGGCAAGAGAGGAAGAAGTCAGTCTGTGAGTTCTTTGGGCAGCAGGGCCAAAGCATAGGTTACCAACCACAACTAGTGAGGCACATATACAGCATTCAGCAGTTCCTGAGTGGCAAATCTATAGGGCTGCAAAGCGAAGGGAGCACAGAAGGAGGCCATACCATGTGGCCTGTCCCTATCCATCTTCCAGCCTACAGTGCCAGGGAACCTGTTAGAATGCAGATTAGTGTATTTCACATAGCAGCCGGTGAAACAATAAAAAATACCCAGGACAATTACTTAGAGGGTGGCCTACTTAGAAGCAACTGCACCAGAGGACAGGAATGCTAGCATCAGAAGTATCACCTATAGCAAGACACCTTGCAGAAATAACACACTAGAGGACGGGCACTGGCTTGGTATGAATTGCTGCTGCCAGCAAGGACAAACTTAAATGTAATGACAACAAAATAGGTTCCAGCTGGGCTTTAGCCATTTAAGCCAACAGTTTCTTTCATAGGGTTCTACATCTGGAGGAGGCATATGAAAAAAGCAACAACTCAGCAACAGTGGTTAAGCCATTTCCTATAGGTTTTATACAGGAGACAAATGCCACAGTTTCTCAACAGGGTGGTAACTGGTTTGGAGTTTAGGAGATGTTGGTATACAGCTGTAAAGGCACAGCCAATCTTAGGCATACTAGCAAGGCCTTATTTCTGGTACACTCTGGACTTTAAGACCAATACAGCTTTTAAAAGGTCAGCTATAATCTCCTTTTCCCTCAAGATCTCCCAACAGCCCCAAACAGGGAAATAAAGGACTGGACACTGGTGACAACCCCACAGTTATGTTTGCAGGGAAGGAAAGGGAAGAGCCCGGCAGGTTGAGACAGCTTGAGACGAGGCACTATGGCACCGTGTAATCCACACAAAGGCTTTGCAAAGCTGCAAGTTCCTGACAGATGTTGTGCTGCACTTCTCTGAAAAAACTGGCCCCTTGCTATTCAGAGAAATCAAAGAGCCAGCTCATGCAATTTCTCCCTGCTCTACTACCTGTGTGCAGGCCAATGGAAGAAGCAGCTGGAACTCTCTCCACCCACCTTTGGCTGCAGCCCCAAAACCCAGGCAACAAACACTTCACCTGTGAATGCAGAAGGCCGGAAAGCAGCCAACCGGGGCAGTAAGTTGAGTACTGTCATCTGGATCAGGGAGTTCTTGCTGGTTCTGCATTTCAAAACCCACTGGCATACCTGAAACCGGATGGATTGGGCTTTCAGGGAGGAGCATATTTCTCCCTCCTCCCCATTATTTTTATTGGTGCTCTACAAAGCCTTGTACTGACTCTCACAGCTCCCCCCTGGGAGTAGATAAAATTATCTGATTCAGAGAGAAATAAACTGCAGCACAGAGAATCTAAGCCGCTCTCTCTCAGAGGCAGAGCCAAATACAGCTAATGAACCTTGATACTTCGATGCAATCACTGAGCCATGCTGCTTCCCAGACAAGGGAAGGTGGGGGGTAGCTGTGCTTTTAAGAATTTAGTCTATGCTGGTTGAAGGGGGCAAGTACAGAAACACTCACAACCCACCTGATCAAACTTTTCCTCCATGAGATCCCGGCAACATCGGCTCTCTACCAAGGTTGACTTTGCTGGGACAGGTGAGGCTCCGAATCCCATGATTCCCTGGTGGGCACTGTATCCCAGCAGTCCAGCAAAGGCATTCGATTGGGAGGGCTGCAAAGACTGGAAGCTGGTGAATGGGGTGATGTGGCGAGGCTTCGTACCAAAGCCCATCAGGTCTTTGCAGTACTTGTCATGCACCATCTGTTGCTGTGTGATCTCCTCCATCTCTTCCCTGAGGCGCTAGGCGTAGAAGATAAGCAGGTTCAAAGACAGCTGAATAGAAGATTGCACACACACACAGAACACTTACAGAATTAGGGACCAAAGGCATCCACCCCAGTTGCAACATCCCGGTCCCCAACAGGCAACAGATTTTCTGATAAGAGACCAACAGCAAGACATTCCAAGGATTTCTACCTCTTTATACTTCCAGTGGGAAAGCAGCAGAGACAGGCAATGAAAGCCCCCCAGCATGGCAGAACAAGGCAGGCAGGGTATTTCAAAGATCCTAACTCTCCAAGTAAATGCCACTTGAACCCCATACCCAGGGCTCCTACTCCCCAGACAAAAGGAGATTCAAGTCTGGCATACCTCTCTGAATGCATCCAGCTTCAGGTGAATGAGCAGTTTAGTTCTGAACTTTAACCTGATCCCTCCTTTGAACACCTTCAACTGCTTTCCAGAAACACACAGTCCTCACATGCTTTTCCACTCCACATTTCATTTGTTCAAGTTACAGTAAAAGCTCTGTTATCTGGCATCCCCCGGGAACGGTGGATGCCAGATAACAAAATATGCCGGTTAACTGAGCAGCCCCGGCCACTGCTTTTCATGCTGTATCTGGGGCATCCCTCCGCCCCTCCTGTGGTCCAGCAGGACAGGGAGGCAAGTTCCACACAGCCTGCTATACCCCCAGGCCATGGGGGCTCCACAGCGCAGCTGCTTTGCCCTGAGCAATGGGGGCTCAGAGAAACCGGAAGTGCCACGACCGGTACTTCCAGTTTCACTTTACCTTACAAGCCGGCATGCCGGTTAGTGGAGCATGATGGCTGGTAAGATGCCAGATAACAGAACTTTTACTGTACTTGAAGAAGTCAGATGCTCCATATGTGATCAGAACCTATACTCAGCAACCTACGGCACATATCCCAATCCTTATTTTGGCTGTACCAAATCTGTTCATTCTAATATTATAAAAGCCTTAATCTGTCTGTCTGTCCATAATGCTTTATTCACACACTCATTAGTTGTCTGAAACAACAAGAGTGCTCCAAGAGTGTTCTAGACAGGAGACAGTGGCACGCCACCATGATGGTAGGGACAGAGCGGCTGGAGCAGGGGGCTCCCTGAAGGCGAAGGCAGCACTGGGTGCTGGCCAAGGGGGCCAGAGAAGCAAGCTTCCCCCCTCTCTTGCTCTTGGGAGAAAGCAGCGGTGCAGGGTGGTGGCTGACGGTGCTCTGTCTCCACCTACCTCTCCCCCCTCCCCTGGCATTCCTGATGGGCAATTGGCTAGCAGACAATATCAGTAGAAAGAAAGAAAGGTTTCAAGATAAGATTAGAAAGGCATAACAAACTAGAAAGGGAAAAATCCCTATTTGTCCTGCCTGTCCCTCGGTACAAGGGCAGAAGAACATTCCCTAATACTTAATCAGTCCTAATCTGTAAGCAATGAAGTTTTCACGGTCTTACTCAGGAGCCTGTTCCACTCCTTATTTAACTCTCTGCCAGAAAGTTTCCTGATATTCCACCTGTTCCCATCCCCTACACTGTCATGCTACCTCATCTGGATATGTAGTCCTGTACACTAAATAGTTCACCCTTTCTTTTGTGTTCACGTCATACAAGTACCCATTTATCACTTAGTTGATCAATTTGTGTCACTTTCCACCAGTAATACACAGCTATGATTTCTGAGCAATTGGTATTGCTCTTCTCTTTCTTCCCTTCAGTACCAGTGGTCTCTATGATAACAGGAAGCCCTGAGCCCTGGTTGCTTGTGGAGCTTTCCCAGCCACTTTTGACCCAAAACAGATTAATTTCAAGTTCCTCAGCTCATAAAGCAGCCACTGAATGAGGCAACAACCACACTTAGCTGCTAAGTGTGCTAGGCCAGACTATCACCTTGATAAATTGCTCACCTCTCCTTCCATGCTGCTGATCCTCACTAACTCATTGAGGATCAGTAAGGCACCATGGATTCGGTCGTCACGATTCATACCCTTTTCCTTGGCCAAAGTCTCATCAAAACCTCTCTCAGCCTCTTCATATGTGTGCTAAAAAAAGAAAACAACAATAAACAGCAGCAATTTTAACAGAAACTAAGCCCCATGAAACAGAACAATGCACCACAACATGTCACTAGGTACTGGGAGCCTGTAAGTTCCAGGAAGAGCTACATGCTTCAGCCAGGAAATTGTGAAGTGCTGTATAGCTAGGAGTCAGAGAGAAAACAGAGTTCAGCTACCTGAGAGTGTCTTCAGCAGCAATGAGAGCCAAGAGCAATGGCAAGGATGCTATACCAAGAATTCTGCCACTGAGTTCGCCCTGTGGAGTAATCACACAAGGCTTGAACAGGATGATTAAGCTAATTAGGCACAGTGAGACCTGAGCATCTGCCATACCACCCTGTCCCAAGATATTAAGAAATGGAGATGCTCATGCATGTCACTTAAAATTGGTCTACACTGCTACCAAAAGAAGGTGGGAGGCACAGGTCAGTCTGATCACATGCTCTGTTGAGAACAGTCTGACTGCTAGGATAGACTAGGTCAAAGGGCTGACAACAAGTTGCAAAAAGCACAATAAAACTTTGGTGTATATGACCCATTTCTTTTGTACCAGTTGATCCCAAGGCCAGAATATTTTTAATCCTGACTGAGAGGCGCCAACACCTAACAGCCTTAGCTTAGACCAGATCTTGTGTGCTGACACAGAGAAGAAAGCTATTTAAAGTGGAAGGAACTCCTTCCTTACTCTGTACCACTGGGGCTTCTGCATCTCTTTTGGCTCCCGCTGGGTGGTGAGAATGAGGCAGGCACGTAAGGCAGAGACAGCTCCCTCTCGGATGGCCTGTTTGGGGTCCCACACGGCCACAAAGATATTATCAAAGAATGGCTGCACTTGCTGGAAAAAGAAGGTAGGCACGCTGATGGCCAGTTCACGCAGAACGAGAACCTGGAGACAGGAAGGAAAATGGTGGTCAGGGAGAGGTGGGAATTTAGAAAAAAAACTTCCACATGCCAGATCTGTCTTGCCTAGTTATACTGTAAGCTTTTGGGAGCATGCTGCTGGGTTTATACAATGCTTTGGCAATTGAGCATCTGAGTCTTGGTTCCTAAGCACCACCAGAACAAATACCATTAACAGCAGACCAACTAGTCCCTCCCATAGCTCTTCAGAAATGGAAGAACAGCCATTCCATTCCCCAACTAGGACTTCCCTCCAGTTCTCTCCCCACTCACTGCATCCTTCCTCACGCAGTTCTCATCACCAGTACTCATGAGCCTGTTCCCAGGAAGGCTGAGAAGCCAGAAGAACACTTACTGCTGCATGCCTTCGACCTTCATTCCTATCAGCTCCCAGCCACTCCAGAGCCCGTTTCACCTCAAACTCCACATATTCTGCTGTGAAGGTGTCTCCCGTCATTGCAAGGCGCCCGATAGCCTTGGATGCCATCTCCATGACAACAGGGTCATTGGAGGGGAGCAGGTTCCGAAGGTAGTTGGCAAACCTGCCGATGCGGGTGGCATTGCCTCCCTCAACGCCAATAAGACTTGCTGGGGAGAAAGAGAGCATGGGTTAAGTTCTGCCAGTGGGTTGGTGTGGCAAACAGTAGCAAAATCCCTGGAAGAGAGTTCTTTCTAGGCAGCCTGGAGAGATTCCTGCTAACTCTTCCTAAACTGCAAATCCACCAGAAACATTAAGCAGCAGGAAAGGTCTGCATTCTTCTCAAGCTCGAATCTGTTATGTAAAACAGAGAAATGCATCAAGAAGGTTCCATAAGTCACATTTTCCTTGTATTACTTCATAAAGATCCACTCTGGGAACACAGATCCATTCCAACACACACGCATCTATATATGGCCATAATGGACCCAGGACTGAATGGAGAAGACTGTACTCCTCCAGAGATGGTCTCTCGAGGCCTGTCTTGAGACACATTGGCAGGGGGCAGCGCAGCAGCAGAGAGAAGGCATTGGTATTCAGGGTTGTCAAGCTGACACCTTCCACCAGTACTAAGTTCACAGAAGTAACTTTAAAGTAACACTGTCCGCCTAAAGTGAGATGTCATTAACAAAGACCACCCACCGCAACAACCTCCATCACCTCTAAGCACACCGGGGTTGGTTTGGTTATGATGCTCAACTCAATCCAGAAGGAGCTTTACTGGGTTATTAAAAAGCAAATGGTGCAGAAATGAGGAATCCATTTGGAAGGGACTGTTTTTATATGAGTTATCTGTACCATGGGTTCCCAACCCTCAGGCTGTGAAGGGTTGGTTGCTGGTCCACAGGAGGCTTGGCTGCCAGACTGGAAGTCCCAAAGTGACTGGCATACTGTGGACTAGCAACCGAGTCCACAGTATGTCGGTCACTACCGAGTATAAAAAAGGGTTGGCTGCTGGCCCACAGTATGCCGATCACTCCTAGTCCGCGGTTTACTAGTCCGCAGCATAAAAAGGTCGGGAACCCCTGATCTGTATCCCCAGGAGTTGCAATGTTTAGGCTGTTCTGCCGCACAAGAACAAAAGCTCAACAGGACAATCGGAGATGCTACTGGGAATAAATGCAAAAGTTGTTTGATCTCCTCCTTGGAGGAGGCACCTGCTGCCACTGAGTGAAGGGCTTTAAAGGGTACGATTATTGCTCTCAGGCCACAGAGAGTCCAGACTATTTGCACACCATGATCACTTAAAGCTGAGCATCGCAGCCCGTATTTTCGTAACAACTCAGGACCACGTTCTCAAGCACTCAGCACAGAGAGACCACGTCTTCAGCTCATTTGCGTCACAGGGAAGTGGAGAGCGAATCTCCCAGAGACACCGAATCCCTGCGCTCACCTATCGCCAGGATGCCCCCCTTCTTCTCGTTGGTGTCGGAGCTAGAGACCAGCTCAAATATGTGGTGATTCAGCTGGTCATAGAAGCGGGTCGATTCCTCCTGGCTCATCTGCGCAGGAAAGAGAATTCAGGCCGAGGCGGAGCTGGTCCCCAGCACCCCAAGCCCCCAGGGCAGCAACGATGCCGGGGCCTCCCAGGATCCAAACAGGCGGCGTCTTCTCCTCCCCTGCCCCGCCCCCCGTCCCGTCCCGTCCCGGGCCTCCCAGACCCCGCGGGCCGCCACACCTCGCGCAGCTCCATGGTGACATAGTGCTGCAAGTCCTTGGCCGCTTTGGCCCGCGTCTCCTCGCTGCGGCTCTTCAGGCCGTTGGCGAACTGCTGCAGGATGGACACGGTGCCCGACATGGCGGCGGGGGCGGCTCAGGGCGTCCAGCGCAACGGGGCCTTGGGACACAAAACCTTGGCGTTGGCACCGGCGGGGCCGGGCTCCCGCACAGACCCGGGCCCAGAGCCTCGCAGCGCCAAGCGCCGGCATGACAGAGCCCCGCGCCCCGGGGCGTCGCCAGGTGACCGCGGGGATAGGGGAGACCACTCACCGCCTCCTCGCCGGCTCTCTTGGTCGGGCCCTGGCTCTACCCGCCAGGCCGGCGAGGAGCACCCACCCAATCAGCGCCCAGTCACATCGGAGTGGCAGCCACCGTCACCAATGGAGTGGGGAGGAAGGCGGGGTTCCTAGGGGAGGGCAGCCCCGCCCCTCAAGCCGGCTAGCAGGGCTGACCAATCCGGGAACAAAAAAATTAATAAAATAAAAGTGGTCCGATTGATACAGGGCTCCGCCAGTGGCGAGCCGGCAGCAGCGTGATTGGCTGGAATGCCGCACTCCCCACCCCTCCCGGGGACAGTGACCAGGCGGAAGCAGGAAGCCGCAGGGGGACGCCAGGGTGGGGACACATGCCTCTCTGCTTCCGGGTGCGTTGCTGAAAGCGTTCCCTCGCCCGCAGCCGACCAAGGGCGCTGTTACCGTAATGG